GCAACAAACAGAAACGATGAGTTAAATGTTGTCAGCAACAAACAGAAACGATGAGTTAAATGTTGTCTGCAACAAACAGAAACGATGAGTTAAATGTTGTCAGCAACAGACTGGAGTTCAGGAACATGAACGCATCAGCTGATGTGAGCAGCAGAAACGCTTGGAATGAGGGAGCTGTGCCACACACAGACGCTCTTTAAGGAGTGAGACAAAAGTGATGTGCAGCTTGATAAGTGATGGCGCCATAGCAGTGATAGGACACACACACACACACACACACACACACACACACACACACACACTGATAAGCATCACCTCCATCCGTCGGCCTGCCTCTGGCTGGAGACAGTCACAGATTTGGTTCTTGGCCAGTGGAATCAAACGGAGGTGGAGGAGAAGCAATTACCGGTACTTCTTCAGGAGTCACAAAGTAAGTTATGAAGTTAACTGGGGGGGGGGGGGGGGGTCAGGTAGCTGCTCGTCTCCTCCTACAAAGTATCACAGTGTGGCCTGACAAGGGCAGGCTGCAAACATGAGCAGGGTATGGAAACAACAAGAAAGACAGATGTGCAAACTGCTGGCGACGCACGAGCTCTTATTGTTTGTGACACCTGAGAGAAGACGGCTCTGCAGCATCAGCAGCAGCAGCAGCAGCAGCAGCAGCAGCAGCAGCAGCTGCTGCTGCAGCCACGAGTCAACAACAGATCAGACGATTGAAGCTTTTGTTACAGACACAGCTGATAATTCCACAGACGCCACGGACACTCCTTCATCGTCTTCATCACTCACGAGGCAACATACTGTCACGCACTGTGACCATTCCCTCACCCACAGTGGCAGGAACACACACGCACACACACACATTCCGGAGTTAGCAGCATTTCTGTTTAAAGTGGACGTATGTTGAAGGTGAGTAGACATTTTGAGTTCGAGCCCACTGAGGACAAAGAAAACTGTTTGTGCCCCTCCAGCCCTGAGACGCAAAACCAAAGACCAATAAATAAATAAATAAATACAATGAAAAAAACAACAACATTAAAATCAAATCCCTTTGAGTGTGTGTGTGTGTGTGTGTGTGCGGGGGGTGGGGGGGGGGGGGGGGGGTCATTTAAGGCAGTCTGGACCAAGACTAGAACCAGGACCAAGACTAGACGGAGGAGTTTCAGGACCTGCTCATACTGGAATGGGGGCAGTTAGCACGGAGCACCTTTACTGGGCCCAGAGGCTCCTAACTTGTGCTACTCACTGGCTGTTATTGATTTATTGATTGTTTTAATGCATTTTTCAGAAGTTCTCCTTAAAAAGCATTGGTTCATGAGAAGAAATGAAAACTGGTTGTGTTCCAGCAGTGAACAGGAGCTTCCTGTGGTGGTGGCGCCGCAGCTTCGTTTTACCGACATGTCGTCACACAAACTGTTGTTGTCTTTTAACAAACACTCGCAGTGAAACTGCAGGGGCTGCAGACACCGTTAAGACTCTCACAAACATCAGTGCAGGCCTCAAAACAACAAACGAGCAAAAATCATAAATGAAATAAAGAAGTAAAACAAATGACAAGAACAGCCGACGAGCCCTTCAGAGTAAAAGCATGAGCTTCCTACCTGAGCCGGCGTCCATGATGTTCAGCGGTCCTCGGCGCTCTGTCACCAGCCGAGAAGAGCCGGGCATGCTGACCGGCTCTGAACGAACCGGCTGGATTCTGAACACATTTATTTCATCAGTATTATTCATTCAACCTTTATTTATACAGATGAATCACACGGAGCCTCAAAGACTCTTTTACAATTCATACACACAATAACATATTTAACTTTGATTAAATATGTAGAACACTATGTAAAATAGCATCATCCTTAACTGTTAACTGCTTCTTCTTACTATAAAATGATTTTGTTGAAATGAACGTATGTTGGTGAATTACAAATGAAAAACTTAAGAAATAAAGTTTTGGATCATGTTGGTATTTTACTGTAATTTATTTTTTAAAATACTATATTGACTGAAGTAAAACACACAAAATAAGCAGTTCTGTTTATACATTATTGGGTGCATGTTGTTGAGCAGTTTTAATGTACCGAAGACTGTGCAGGTCCAGGTCATCTGTGTCAAAATCCAAGAGAGGCTGCTGGACATCAGCAGGGCCCTGGGACTGGAGCACTGACGACGAGGTGGAGATTACTGTGGTCTGACCTGATGGGTGAATGGTCTTAAACTGAAACTGGGGGCCCATCCACAGGCGTCGGTGGGGACCAGTATGGGTCACAATCTCCACCTGAGAATATTAGCGAGAAAATAATTATGATTAGGTTAAAATATGTCACACCAGACTTCACATACTGAATCCCACAGGAGTCAAGGTCAAGGCTTTTTAACTGTCATTCACATCTCATGTGGTACATGAGGTGGAACAAAATTGTGTACACAGGATACCAGTTACATCCAACGTTAGCAAAAAAAATAAAGTGTAAAAAGAAACAGTAAATAAGGATCTCAGAAGAAAACTAAGATAGACGCCAAACAGTACGTGAAAAGATCTAAGACATACGCTAAACACTAACAGTGTAAAACAATACATCAAACAGCAGCACGAACATGAGTCTTTGTGGGTTGATGAGTATGAATGAATGAACACGGCAGCATGAAATAATCAGCAGCATGAGATCAGCAGCATGGATAGTCAGCAGCACATATCAACAATCAAGTGGCATCACAGTGATTGTTCTGGTTAGAGATTCATGAGTCTAACAGCCTCAGGGTAGAAGCTGTTCCTCAGTCTAGTGGTTCTACACTTAATGCTCCTCAACCTCCTTCCTGAGGGAAGTGGGGCAAAAAGTGTGTGTGCTGGGTGAGTGTGGTCCTTCATGATGCAGGTGGCCCTCTTCCTGCATCTGGAGGTGTAGATGTCTGTGATGGTGGGGAGGCTGACTCCAACAGTCTCCAATCATATGCAAACTTTACAATGTGACAGCCTGGATAGGTATACATGAGCAGAGTGAACAGGAGGGAGCTCAGCACACAGCCCTGAGGGGAGCCAGTGCTGAGAGTTATGGTGGAGGAGAAGTTGTGGATCCTCATTGACTGTGGTCTGATTGTTAAGAAGTCTATGACCCAGTCACAAATGGAGGGGCTTAGTCCTAGTGTGAGTAGTTTGTCCATCAGGTTTGAGGATCATGGAGTTGAAGGCAGACGTGAAGTCCACAAAGTGTATACGGACATAGGAGTTCTTCTGCTCCAGGTGGGTGAGAGCAGTGTGGACCACAGAGGAGATGGAATCCTCTGTAAATCGCTTGGATGAGTTTGGTAGATTGCTTGGATGGGTTCAAAGTCACCTGGTGACATTGTAATGTCGAGCTGTGTATCATCTGCATAGTTAAGGTAATTAATCGTATTTCCTGTTCCTATGTTCCCACTACCTGAGCTAGTGGGAGCATATAGATATTGAATAGCAGTGGTCCCAGGATTGAACCTTGGGGTACCCTGTATGTGACTCATGTCCACTTCGATGAGAAGTTACCTACTGAGACAAAAAAAAAATCCTGTTCTTTATGCAAGATTTGAACCAATTGGGTACTGAACCGGAGAGCCCTATTCAACTCTGCAGTCCTTTCAATAATATGTCATGGTCAACAGTGTCAAATGCTGCACTGAGGTCCAACAGAGCCAGCACTCTGGTTCTTCCACAGTCTGTATTTATGTGGATGTCACTAAACACTTTGACAGGGCAGTCTCTGTACTGTGGTGAGAACGGAAACCGGACTAAAAGAGTCAAAGCGGTTGGTAATCATTAGGAAGCTATTTATCTGTTGAAACACAGCTTTTTCAATAATTTTGCTGATGAATGGAAGGTTGGAGACTAGTCTGTAATTCTGCAGTAGTGATTTGTCCAGACTGCTCTTTTTTATTAGTGGTTTGATAAGCCTGGGGGAAACACCTGATGAGAGGGATGAGTTTAATGTGTGCTTATAATAAGAAAATGAAACAACTGAAACTTACAGATCTCAACAAAGCACTTAAAGATTATGAAGAGCAACATAAAATGTTCTGAGTGTGAGGTGGGTGACTCTTAGAAATCCATTATGAATGACTAGTTTGTGATTACTGCTTCTGATTATAAATATTAGTAATGACTATTGTTGTTTCTTTTAAAATGCTCTCTGTCCTACAAGAGACGTGCCAGTTGATTTGAAAACAAGACACTTTCAAAGATAGATCATCCATCTACTGTAAGTTTTACTGTCTATTATATTAGAAGTGACAGACCATAAGTCAAAAACTATGATAGTCTCCATAAGGACAGGAGGTTTTGTTCTTCACTGACAGCCAATTTAAGAGAAACTGACAATGATTGACAAAAAAAGAAAGCGCATGTCTGAGAGCTTAAGCACTCACACTGAGGGTCACAAACCTCACATTTCATTAGAAGATGGCTGATCAATTTTAAATCCCAACAAAACTATGAAATGCCCGCATATAATCTAATGAAGACCACTGTTATGATAGAATGAAATCCACAAGGCAGTACTTAGCCTTTAATTCAATACAGTTTATACATATTTAGCATTCCTCAGTCCAGCAAGCTACCGGGGCAAATGAGTGTAATCTGATCCTGAAGTAAAGAGTCCATCCTGGTTGACTTTGTACATCCTACATGCAATGTAAATTTAAAGGTTTACAAGTCAACTCAGGTATGATAGTTCATAAAGTTACAGCTTTCACCAGAGGCCTGTGTCTACATCTACTCTGACAGAAAGTTGCACAGATATGGATTAGTGCAATGGATCGTTTTCTACTAGAAAACGATCATGGCAGATTTAAACCAAAGCCTTTGCAAGCTAAGTGGGTTGCATTTTAACCAATCAATTATGCAAGCACTGGAATTATTGATAGTGTATTGATGAATTATTAAAAATGTAGTGGATTACCTGTCGACATGAACGTGAGTGCTGTGAGGGTTAACCAAGCTGAAAAGATGCGGGTGAGTGTGCTGGATTAGTTATCCTATTTTTAAGTTACAACAACTGTTCTGTATATTTTTTGATTTGTGTTTGTCAGGTCTCTCTTGAAAATGAGTCCTCGTGACTCAATGAGACTAACCTGTACAAATAAAAATTGAATGAAAAAAAAGTATTTTGAAAAGAAAGATGGTTAATATTATTTTTTGATATCCTTAACATCCTAAAAAAAAAAAAAAAAAAAAACAGAAAAGTATTGGATATGGTGATGGTTTGCTTGGTCATGTTTGATGGCCTGGCAGTAAAGATAAAAATAACACTGATAACAATAACTTGTGCAAAATCAGTCTAACAAAGGACAGTCTAAGGTATAGAAAATTGTACTACAGTCGAAGACCACGAGGAGGGAAACATGTCAGGAGACAGAGGGAGAAGAGGAAAGTGAAGAATGTAGGACTGAGGGTTGCAACTTTAGATGTGGAGACAATGACAGACAAAGGTAGAGAGCTGGCTGACATGATGCTGAGAAGGAAGGTAGATGTTTTATGTGTCCAAGAGACCAAGTGGAAGAGCAGCAAGGCTCGCAGCATTGGAGCAGGGTTCAAACTGTTTCACCATGGTGTGGATAGAAAGAGAGAAGGAGTAGGGCTGGTCCTGAAGGAGGAGTTGGCAAAGAATGTAGTAGAGGTGAAGAGAGTGTCAGATAGGGTGATGTGTCTGAAGGTAGAAGTAGAAGGTCTGATGCTAAATGTTGTCAAAGGTTATGCTCCACAGGTTGGATGTGATGATGAGGAGAAAGATATGCTGGTGAAGATTCTCAGTCAGAGAATCAGAGGAGAAAGATACATTTTGGAAAGATCTGGATGACGTGATAGAGAGTATTCCCAGGGAGGAGAGAGTGGTGATGGGAGCAGACCTGAATGGACATGTTGGTGAAGGAAACAGAGGATGAGGAAGTGATGGGTAGGTTTGGTGTCAAGGAAAGAAACCAGGAAGGACAGATGGTGGTGGATTTTACCAAGAGAATGGCCATTTGGCTGTAGTCAACACCTATTACCAAAAAAAGGAGGAACATACAGTGACCTATAAGAGTGGAGGAAGGAGTACGCAGGTCGACTACATTCTGTGTAGAAGAGGAAACCTGAGGGAGATTGGAGACTGTAAGGTTGTGGCAGGGGAGAGCGTGGCCAGACAGCATCGGATGGTTGTGTGTAGAATGACTGTTGTTGTGAAGAAGAGAAAAAGAGTCAAATCAGAGAAGAAGACCAAATGGTGGAAGATGAAGAAGGAAGAATGTTGTGAGAAATTCAGAGAGGAGCTGTTAAAGGCTCTGGGTGGTAAGAAAGAGCTTCCAGATGACTGGACTACTACAGCAACAGTAATTAGAGAGACATGTAGGAAGGTACTTGGTGTGTCATCTGGACAGAGAATGGATGATCAGGAAACCTGGTGGTGGAATAGTGAAGTGCAGGAAGATGTTCAAAGAAAGAGGTTAGCCAAGAAGAAATATGACAGAGAGAGGACTGAAGAGAGGAGACAGGAAGATAAGGAGATGGACCGTAGAACAAAGAGGGAGGTAGCTAAGGCAAAGCAGAAGGCGTAAAATGAGCTGTATGAGAGACTGGACTAAAGAGGGTGAGAAGGACTTACAGATTGGCAAGACAGAGGGATCAGGCTAGAAAGAATGGGCAACAGGTTAGGCTTGTTAAGGATAGGAATGGTAATGTTCTAAAAAGTGAGGAGGGTGTGATGGGAAGATGGAAGGAGTACTTTGAGGCACTAACGAATGAAGAGAATGAAAGAGAGAAAGAAGAGTAGAGGTCACAGAAACTGTGGCCCAGGAAGTGGGAAAGATCAGTGAGGGTGAAGTCCAGAAAGCTCTGAAAAGAATGAAGAAGAGGAAGGCAGTAGGACCTGATGACCAGTGGAGGTTTGGAAATGTCTTGGAGAGATATCAGTGAGGTTTTTGACTCAAATATCCAATGGTATGTTTGAGGGTGAAAAAATGCCTGAAGAATGAAGAAGTGTGCTGGCGTCCATTTTTAAGAACAAGGGTGATGCACAGAGTTGTAGCAACTTCAGGGAAATTAAGTGGATGTCACACAATGAAGATCTGGGAGAGAGTTGTGGAAGCTAGACTTAGACGAGAGGTGACTATTTGTGAGCAGCAGTATGGTTTCATGCCAAGAAAGAGCACCACAGATGGCATATTTGCTTTGAGGATGCTGATGGAGAAGTACAGAGAGGGTCAGAAAGAACTCCATTGTGTCTTTGTGGATTTAGAAAAAACATCTGACAGAGTGCCGAGGGAGGAGGTGTGGTATTACATGAGGAAATCTGGAGTGGCAGAAAAGTATGTTAAAACTGGTACAGGACATGTATGAGGACAGCAGGACAGTGGTGAGATGAGCTCTATAAGTGACAGATAGCTTCAAGGTGGAGGTGGGAGTGCATCAAGGATCATTTTTGAGCCCCTTCTTGTTTGCTCTGGTGATGGACCAGCTAACACATGAGGTCAAGCAGGAATCCCCGTGGACAATGATGTTTGCAGATGACATGATCTGTGGTGAGAACAGGGAACAGGCGGAAGAGAACTTGGAGAGGTGGAGGTATGCACTTGAAAGAAGAGGAATGAAAGTCAGCCGTAGTAAGACAGAGTCCATGTGTGTGAATGAGAGGGAGGAGGTGGAACAGTGAGGCTACAAGGAGCAGAGGTCACAAAGGTGCAGGACTTCAAGGACTTGGGGTCCACTGTCCAGGAAATGGGGAGTGTGGTAAATAGGTGAAGAAGAGAGTCTAGGCAGGATGGAGTGATGGAAAAACGTTTCAGGAGTGATTTGTGACTAAAGGGTGTCAGCAAAGGTCAAAGGAAAAGTTTACAAGACAGTGGTGAGACCAGCTATGTTGTATGGTCTGGAGACAGAGACATGGACAAAAAAAAAAACAGGAGACAGAACTGGAAGTGGCAGAAATGAAGATGTTGAGGTTCTCCTTAGGAGTGATAAGGATGGAGAAGATTAGGATTAAGATCATCAGAGATCCAACAAAGGTTGAACAACTGGGAGATAAAGTTAGAGAGGTCAGACTGAGATAGTTTGAACATGTCCAGAGGAGGGACAGTGGTTTGGACATATCCAGAGGAGGGACAGTGGTTTAACATGTCCAGAAGAGGTACAGTGGGTATATTGGTAGAAGGATGTTAGAAATGCAGCTGCCAGGAAAAAGATAAAGAGGAGACATATGGATGTAGTTAGAGAGGACATGGAGGTAGTTGGAGTGAGGACAAAGGGTGCAGAGAACAGAATGAGATGGAGGAGGATGATTCACTGTGGTGACCCCTGAAGAGGGAAAAGCTGAAAAAAAGCAAGATTCTGATAACCTGTGCAAAATCAATCCAGCACCCACATTCCTCCTGTTAGTTCCACAATACGTTTAAAATATTTTAGCTAGCTCATTAGTAGCATCTAAAGAATGGTTTATAATACTGTCTGGGAGGTAGACCAGAACACTGAGGAAGGTGTGGGATAGTTAATGAACATGAAAACTGATACCAATACCACAGCAGAGAAGTTGTACATTTTCCTCAAGATGTTTGTACCAGCTCCTGTGCCTGCCCTCCATTGATTATCTCTCAGGAGTTTTCTTTAGGCTCCAACTTAAAAAAAAAAGCTTTAAATATAAGCTCTTATATTTAATATTAAATTTGTATTCCGTCCATCCATCCACCCATCCATCCATCCATCCATCCATCCATTAGCTTCCTTTTTGGGTCGCAGGGATCAATGGTGCCCATATCCAGCAGTCACTGTGCAAGAGCTGGGGTATGCCCTGGGCAGGTCTCCAGTCCATCACAGGGACACAGAGACAAATGAGACAAACAATTATTCTCTCTCTCACCTAGGCACAATTTAGAGTTATCCATCAGCCTAATGTGCATGTTTTTCGTCTGTGGGAGGAAACCGGAGTACCCAGAGAAAACCCATGCAGCACGGAGAGAACAAGCAAACTTCACGCAGAAAGGTCCCCTGCCAGGAATCGATCCAGCGACCTTCTCGCTGAGAGGCAGCAGCTCTACAAACTGACCCACCGTGCCACCATTAAATTTGTATTCATTAAAAAAAGTAAATTTACATTGGAACTTTTAAAAAAAGTATGTAAAATTAGTTAGAAGAAATCCAAAAAAGTTCTATCTGGTCCTCTGGACATAAAAAAAAAGAAAAGAAAAAAGAAAAAAAAAATAGAAACGTTTCGTCTCTCATCCGAGAGATTTCCTCAGTCTGAGGTGCTGTATTCAGCTATTTAAGAGACTGAGCTGAATACAGCACCTCAGACTGAGGAAGTCTCTCGGATGAGAGGCGAAACGTTTCTATTTTTTTTTTTTTGCTTTGGTTTTTTTTTTTTTAATGTCCAGAGGACCAGATTGAACTTTTATGGATTTTTCTACCTGGATTATTGAGCATGCATCAGGATAGTTAGAAGAAATATTTTTACAACCCTGTCTTACAGTTTTTTTTGTACTTTATTGATAAAAAATGATTTGTAAACGACAAAAATCAAACAGAAGTTTTATGTATTTCATCCATCCATCCATCCATCCATCAATATCTTCCGCTTTTTCTGAAGTCTGGTCGCTGTGGCAGCATCTTGAGCAGGGAGGCCCAGATATATCTTTCTAAAGCCACATCTTCTAGCTCTTCTGGTTCAGGGGGGACCCCAAGGCGTTGCCAGGCCAACCGAGAGACATAGTCTCTCCAGCGTCCTGGGCAGATGGCCGAACCACCTCTACTGGCTCCTCTCAATGTGGAGGAGTAGCGGTTCTACTCTGAGTCTCTCCTGAATAATTGAACTTCTCACCCTATCTCTAAGAGAGAGTCCAGCTACCCTGCGGAAGAAACTCATTTCAACCACCTGTATCCCCGATCTCATTCTTTAGGTCACTACCCAGAGCTTGTGGCCACAGGTGAGGGTAGGAACATAGACCAATTGGTAAAAAGAGAGCTTTGCCTTACAGCTCAACTCTCTCTTCACCACAACAGATCAGTACAGAGTCCACAATACTGTAGATGCTGCACCAATCCATCTGTCAATCTCACATTCCATTCTTCCTTCACTCAAGAACAAAACCCCAAGATACTTGAACTCCTCCACTTGAGGCAGAACCTTACCCTCAAACTGAAGAGAACAATCCACCCTTTTCCAGTTGAAGACCATGGCCTCAGATTTGGAGATGCTGATTCTCATTCCAGTCGCTTCACACTCAGCTGTGAAACGCTCCAGTGAGAGCTGAAGATCACATCATGATGACGCTAACAGGACCACATCATCTGCAAAGAGCAGAGATGGAATTCCATCTTCCAGCACCCCTGCCAGAGACTCCAAGAAGGCTGAATACTCTGAACTGCCATTTGGCGCATAGGCACAAACAACAGTCACAGCCCGTCCCTGGACTTGAAGGTGAAGGGAAGCCACCCTCTCATCTACTGGGGACAACTCCAACACACAGGCACTAAGTCGGGGGGCTACAAGTGGACCAACACCCGTTCGATGCCTCTAACCATGGGCAACTCCAGTGTGGAATAAGGTCCAGCCCCTCTCAAAGAGATCAGTTCCAAAGTCCATGCTGTACGTTGAGGTGAGCCCAACTATATCTAGTCAGTACCTCTCAACCTCGCGCACAAACTCAGGCTCCTTCCCCACCAGAGAGGTCATGTTCCATGTCCCAAGAGCCAGCTTTGGTAAGCCAAGGTCCCCGCCTTCAGCCACTGCTCATGATATCATGCACCCAACTTTTATGGCCCTTCCTTCAGGTGGTGGGTCCACAGGAAGGCAAAACCACGTTGCTCCTTCAGGCTGAGCCTGACCGGGCCCCATGGGTAAAGACCCGGTCACCAGGTGCTCGTCGATGAGCTCCTCCCCCAGGCATATCTCCAGGGTGGGGCCCCAGTAACTCACGTCCGGGCAAGGGACACTGAGTTTCTTGTTTTTTCCAGTCCATATAAGTCTTGTGTTTTATGTATTTCACCTAAATAAACAGTACAAATATTTTCTTCCAAAGAAACACTGTAAGCTAATAACTTCTCATTAGTAGATGACCCCTGCAGACTGAATGTTTACATCGTCATTCTGCATTCTGCATGGTGGCCTGTTATAATAACAGCTAAAGTATAAGTTACCATGTACACCTTACCTGAGACAGCCACTCCTCATCATCCTGGCCGCTGTGGTCTGATTCCAAGCTGTCGGATGACTCATGTCGTGTGATTGGACATGGGTTTCCTGATGGCAATCCTGAGGAATGATTGAAACAGTGTTTATTGGAATTGCATGCTCCCTTTAATAAGCACATCCAATATCCGTTCACTTAGACTAAGTCATGCTTTTTGTTGCCCCATAACGATCACTAAAATTTGATAGCTGGCTAAAATGACTAATGTTTGAAGAGATTAGTTTTATTTATTTGTTTATGTTTTAATCTTTTATTATCGGTGACTTGGACTTTGGGATGATACAACTCGACTTGTCACAAGATCTGAAGGAGCTTGTGTCTTCCACGCAAAAAAAAACAACACATATTCTACTGTTCGGCTTTCGGCAAAAACTTGACACTTGAAGGAACAAACTCATTCACTGTGTAGCTGCCCTGGAATCCCCCCCCCCCC